AAAGACTGCTTTATTATTTTAGACAAAATGAAGAAGCTTTTTAAAATAAATGCTTGATGTGAAGAGGCCCCTTGCTATTGTTTTAAGAAGTGCTACTCTTTTAAATACCAGAGAATAACTATACTTCCAGAAAGCACATCAATTTTAACAGCATCTGTACAAGTATAGTCTGAAATATAACACTACAAACAGTGTATATTGTCTCTACTGTTTGTTGCAAGGAGCCAAATTGCTGAGAGGCAGAGGCAGACATTTTTCCCTTGTTTTTCTCCCCAAAATCTAGGTGCGTCTTATACTTTGGAGCGTCTTATACTCCGAAAAATACGGTACCTATACCAGTTTAAGGAGCTGGACAATGCTGAAATTAACTTCATCTTTATTTCTGGCCAATTGTCCTGCTCTAAACTAAGCTTTAAAAAGAAAACTGGTAACTAGAAAGTTTTTAGAGACAGATGAGGGTAAACTAGTGAAAAATTAATCCAGAAAGATAGAGATTGTAGGGATTGGGAAACTACCTATTTCAGATTGAGTTTTACACCAGATTTTAATCAAAATTGTACTTCTGATGGGCCAAATAATGAGTTCTAGATTCAACACTAGCTAAGAAGTCTGAGATAGGAGTGAAAGTTAGGAATGCTTTTTACCAGCTTAGATTGATTTTAGTTGTCCATGCTTTGTAGTGCAGCTTTCTCCAACCTGGAGTGCTTTCAATGAATTAGAACTGCTGCATCTCAAATTCTTTGTTGAAAAACTAGAATCTGAGCGTTTTAAGAATTGTTCCAATAACTATGAAATGTCACCGAGTTGAATAGGAGGCTGCTCTACAATGGTGGGTTCCTAACGGTTCAGACCGGTTCGGCTGAACTGGTAGTGGTTTGGCGGCCTGAGTCGCTGGAACCGGCAGCGACCTAGGCCTGCCACGCCCCTGAAACGGTTCTCCAGGTGGCGGCATAGGTGGCACCATCTTTTTGGGTTTTATGCATGCGCGTCCAAAGTTTGCCACATCCACAAATCTGGCAGTAGCGACTGCCGGAACCCACCTCTACTGCTCTAGGTTGTCATGCTGTAATGTGCAGTAGGTAGCTCTATCCCATTCGGAAAATTCAAATGGTGCTAATGTTGCTTGCTAATGCATGTAACCACATTGTGTCATGTTACATCACTTTCAGACCACTCTCCAGCCCACATTAAGTTGCCCGTATTTGCAAAGAGAAAAGCAGGCTGAACTGAGAGATCAGTTGACCAATCTGCATGATAAATAGTTAGCACTGGAGGCCTGCTTTTGTAGCTCATTATTCATTTCACCACATTGGACAAGGGAGTGCTATTTCTCAGTTGTGACTTGCTTGTGGCATTGTTTTCCATGGGATGTTTGTTAGGCCTTCTCTCTTTAGTCCTCTTAAAGCTTACACGACTACCTTAGCCTGTAATAGAAACTGAATTCAGTCAAGGGCACTGCATACATGACACTGGCTCATTGGAATTGGTGATGGGTAGGTTATTGTATGATTGCTTTTCTTATTACTTTGTTGTTATATTTTTGTAACTTTTATTATCTGAGAAGATTTATTCTAATAGGTAGCTTATACTGTAGATCCTAATAAAAATGTAAAGAAGCATGGAAGCTACAGCCTACATTTACTTAGCATTTATTTAATAGTTCTGTATTTGCCAGATTAGTTCTGAAACCATCATTGTTGATATGTTCACAGCAAGCGGCTTCTTTGCGACGTGGTAATTGTTGCTGAAGACATTGAAATCGAAGCCCACCGTATTGTCCTAGCAGCTTGCAGCCCATATTTCTGTGCAATGTTTACAGGTAAATTTGTTTTTCAAACAAATAACTATTCTTATTTCAGGAAGAGCAAAGAGAGAATGTTTCTTGGTGGTGTTACATGGGATGCTGTTATATGGATGAGAGATGTTAAATGGAGGTATGGTCTTTGTTCAAAAGTGTTCTATCAGAAGAAGGAAAAAGGGGCACAAAGTATATTGCTTACAGCAGGGGTGTCAAAACTTGGGAACTTTAAGACTTGTGGACTTCAACTCCCATGCTGGCTGGGGAATTCTGGAAGTTGAAGTCCACAAGTCTTAAAGTTCTCACATTTGGACACCCCTGGCTTACAGTATAAGCCAATATTCCTCATTGTTAGTGAATGTTTCATGGCTGTGGAGCTTCACTTTGTGGATTTGATTGTGGAGATAGTGCAAGTTAAACTCAATATACTCTTCTTAGTGAATGCTTTTTTTGGGGAGGGGGATCTTTCGCACAACCAATTTCATTGTATTTAAGTACAATGACAATAAAGATTATACTTATAAAGGCTGCCATTGGACTGGCTTTGATGGTAGAGCATAAGTGTCCAATCTTTTGGCTTGCCTGGGCTGCATTGACTGAAGAGGAATATATACAAGTAGTCCTTGACTTACAACAGTTTCCCCATGATCATGTGAAGAAAATTCAGATGCTTGGCAATTGGCTCATATTTATAATCGTTGCGTTGTCCCAAAGTCATGGGATCTGCTTTTGCGACCTTCTGACAATGGGGAAGCCAGATTCATTTAACAATCGGGTTACTAACTAATCAACTCCAGTGATCCTCTTAATAACTGTGGCAAGAAAGGTCGTAAAATGGGGCAAAACTCACTTTAAAATGTCTCACTTAACAACAGAAATTTTGGGCTCAATTTTGGTTGTAAGTCGGGGACTACTTATAGTTAATGTATATAAATCACATAATAATATTAAAAGTTTACAATCTTTGGGTTGTAAAGAGCCGGGGTGGCGCAGTGGTTAAAATGCAGTACTGCAAGCTACTTCTGCTGTCTGCTGGCTGGCTGCCTGCAATTTGGCAGTTAAAATCTCACCAGGCTCAAGGTTGACTCAGCCTTCCATCCTTCNATGGAAGGCTGAGTCAACCTTGAGCCGGTGAGATTTGAACTGCTGAACCGCCGAACTGCAGTTAGCAGTCAGCTGAAGTGGCCTGCAGTACTGCACTCTAACCATTGCGCCACCTGGCGTGGGCAGGTTGGGCATGGCCAGCTCAACATCACTCGTGTTGGTGATGCCTGAGCACTCTGCCAGAGAAAATGGGCTCCTGAGCTCCATTTCCGGCTGCGACGACCTCCTGCAACCCTCTGCCTACGAAAACAGAGCTCAGGAGGATCTGCGTGCAGCCCTCATGAGCTCTGTTTTCGCTGGCAGAGGCACTGTGGGCCAGTCCTTCACTTCCAGGGTGGCCCTGCTGGCCAGATCTAAGCACCCCACAGGCCAGATCCGGCCCCAGGGCCTTGAGTTTGACACCCGTGTATTAGATGTTCAAATTTAAGTAAATCAAATTATTAAATTTGCTGTAGTTGCCCACTCTACTGGATTCTAGATAAAATATGAAGTTTAGAAATCAAATTAAATTCAGAGAAATAGGCAGCCTGGACTAAAACAACCAAAATGATAAACCATACAACCAGGACCCCACAGATATATTAATGAAGAAATTAATTCCAGATATGGGAACAGAGCCAGGTTTTAAGGTTGATTGGCAGTTTCTTCTACAAATTCCCTTACTCATTTGACACACTCTTTGAAATAAACATTTTTCTGGGGAAAAAATTAATGAAACATCCAGTCATTGGCCTGTGCATACTTTTTATATGGGACAAAGAATTCTTGGCACATTAAAAAGGACACATTGGTCTCATCTTTGTTTTTTGTACATCACTATGAGTTTAGAATGGGGGGTATCAAATAAACTGCTTTCCCAAAGTAGTCTGGATAAAATAGAAGCAGGAAGAGTGATATTTTTCTAATCAATTGCCTAATAATCTTTCAGACAGCTAAACATACGAAAGGGAATTTAATACAAATGTATGGACGCAGTAAAAGTGGTACGGATCTCAACATTAGATCTAATTCTGGCTATATCATGGCTCCATTCCTTTCTTGTCTAGCTTTCTACCTAGGCTTCTCCAAAAAGCATGAAGCAGATTCCTGGTCCCGATAAATCCCCTTTTATTAAATGAATGTGAATTCCTCTCAAAGCCCTGGTAAACAGTCTTTCAAAGGCGAGGTTATGACCACAGACCTTATCTAGCTTGTAAATCTGCCATGCAAATACTTTCCAAATGTGGTGCTGTGCAAGGAAAGACTTGACACAGTTTCTGAGATTCACGGACAGATCTTCACACTCCTGAAACGAATCTAACGACCAAACGAATGTATTGATTCCTGCAAAAGCCCACTCTCCTTTCGTTCCTCTTTTATTTCCTATGGGAGGGGCCAATCACCGTCCACCTGTG